ACACATCACACCACCTTCCACATCGGAGCCAAGAGCGAGAGTGCCAATCCCTAACCTGGATGTTAACCCACCTGGAATCCAGCGGTATGTGGTGGAGCATATAGTGAAGAGCAATGAAAACACATCCCATCAGAGACTCAGAGTGTTTTCAGGACGCCAGCCGAGACCCACGCAGGAGGCGGATTACGAGACATGGCGGTCAGGAGTGGATTTACTACTGAGGGACCCGTCAGTCTCAGACCTCCACCGCTCGCGGAGGATTGTGGATAGCCTCCTGCCACCTGCAGCTGATGTTGTGAAGCACCTAAGTGTGGACACTATGCCAACAGTATATATGGATATTTTACACTCGGCATATGGTACTGTTCAAGATGGAGATGAGCTCTTCGCAAAATTCATGGATACTTTTCAGAACAGTGGAGAGAAGTCATCCTCCTATCTACAACGGCTCCAAGTGGCACTGAATGCAGCTGTGAAGATGGGCGGAGCTATGGACGTTGATGTTAACAGGCACCTAATCAATCAATTTTGCCGTGGGTGTTGGGACAATTCTCTTATAGCTGAACTCCAACTAAAGCAAAAGAAATTGAACCCACCAACATTCTCTGAGCTTCTGCTTCTGCTTCGAACAGAAGAGGACCGAGGTGCAGCAAAGGATCTCCGGATGAAACAGCATCTTGGTACGGGCAGACAGAAGGCATCCACCCACGTGCATAGTGCCAGTTCATATGGGGACAGTGAAGAAGGTGGAGCAGTCGCTGCTTTGACCAGCGTAACTAAGCAGCTGGCTGAACAACTGGCAGATGTGCAGCGGCAGCTAGCCATGCTAACTGCTAACAAGACCCAGTCCCAGACTTTCACATCCCCAAAGGCAAATTACAGCAAGCCATCTGCATTTTCAAAGACCCCCCACCGTAAACCCGGGTACTGCTTCCGGTGTGGTGAAGACGGCCACATTCGGCCGCAGTGCTCAAACGAACCCAATTCAGCTCTTGTTGCTCGCAAGAAAAGACTATTTGCACAACAACAATCCAACAGCAAAAACCATTTAAACTAAACAAGGTTCCGGTTATGGGACAAACGGGAACCAAGAGGGATCAATCCAGTCCCAAGGACAGTAAAACTATAAAGTGTGCAGAGATGAGTGGAGCTGAGACCACAACAGCCACAAGACTACCCAAGGGCCTCATTGGGTCAAAATGTGCGGCTGTGTGGTGGACATCGCAGGACACCCTTCTACTTGTCTTCTGGACACTGGATCACAGGTGACAACCATTCCAGTGTCTTTCTATAATGAAAACCTGAGTGATCAGCCTGTGAAGCCATTGCACAACCTGCTCCAGGTCGAGGGAGCAGCTGGACAATCTGTGCCCTATCTGGGATATGTAGAGCTGACCATTACCTTCCCTAAGGACTTCCTGGGATCTGAGGTTGATGTACCAACGCTCGCCCTGGTTGTCCCAGATGCCCGTCCTGAGTGCCCATCTCAGGTGCTCATAGGAATGAACACCCTCGAGCCCCTGTACGAGCTCCACTGTGGCAGCTGTCACTCCACCTTTCAGCCCACAGCCCAGGGGTATCGAGCCGTCCTGAAGCTACTGCAGATGCGGCACCAGCAGAACCATGTGGGCAGTGCAGGATCTGTGCGGCTGTTGAGCCAAACTCCAGTCCTCGTTCCTGCAGGACAGACCATTGTCCTGGAGGGTTCCGCTCGATTGGACGCCCCCACTGCAGATCAGTGGGCCATGATTGAGCACCCGTCATCAACACTTCCTGGAGGCCTGTGTGTCCAAAGCTGTCTCATCACCCTCCCATATCACTCTCCATACAAAGTGCCAATTATCATGAAAAATGAGTCAGAACAAGATGTGTGCATACCTCCATCAACCATTGTGGCTGACCTTGGAGTGTCACCCAGCATTCTGTCACAGGAAGTCAGAACCCCAGATCCGAAGGTCCGGAGCCCTGTGCAGTTCAACTTCGGAGATTCGCCGGTTCCACCAGAATGGAAGGAGCGGTTGACAAGCAAACTCAACACCATGCCCGAAGTGTTCTCTCACCACGAGATGGACTTTGGCTGTACTGACCGAGTGAAACACACCATCAAACTCCATGACCCGACCCCCTTCAAGCAGCGAGCGAGGCCTATCCATCCACAAGATCTGGAGGCCGTCCGCACACATCTTCGGGACCTGCTTGAGGCTGGAGTAATACGGGAGTCGGAGTCGCCATTCTCATCCCCTATAGTGGTGGTGAGGAAGCGCGACGGTGAGGTTCGACTGTGCATCGATTACAAGAAACTGAATATACAGACTGTAAAAGATGCTTACGCCATCCCGAACCCTGAAGAGTCTTTCTCAGCTCTGACGGGGTCGAAGTGGTTCACCGTGCTGGACTTAAAATCTGGATACTACCAGATCGAGATGGCAGAAGAGGATAAAGCCAAAACTGCTTTTGTCACACCACTCGGGTTCTGGGAGTGGAACAGGATGCCGCAGGGAGTAACGAACGCCCCAAGTACGTTCCAGCGGCTGATGGAGCGCTGCATGGCAGGGCTACACCTTAAGGAAGTTCTAGTCTTCATTGATGATATCATCGTGTTCTCAGCAACCTTGGAGGAACACGAGACACGGCTTATGCACGTACTGTCTCGTCTCAAGGACTTTGGACTCAAGCTTTCACCGGACAAGTGTAAGTTTTTTCAGTCCTCTGTGCGCTACCTGGGACATGTAGTTTCTGAACATGGAGTCGCCACAGATCCAGAAAAGATTGAATCCTTGAAATCCTGGCCAGTTCCCCGCAATCTTAAGGAGTTGCGATCTTTTCTGGGTTTTGCCGGTTATTACCGATGCTTTATTAAAGACTATGCAACCATGGTGAAACCATTGAATGAGCTTACTCGTGGATATGGATCTCTCCGTCGCTCTACCCAAGTGAAGAAGCCTGGAGAGACGTATCTTGATCCGAAGGAACCATTCAAAGGAACATGGACCAGCCGCCAGCAGACCGCGTTTGAAATGGTGATTGAAAAATTAACTTCTGCTCCTGTTTTAGGCTTCGCTGACCCCAAGCGGCCGTACATCCTCCACACGGATGCGAGTACCGTTGGGTTGGGAGCTGTGCTCTACCAGGAGCAGGAGGGAGTGTTGCGTGTCGTTGCTTACGCCAGTCGAGGGCTGTCCCTGAGTGAGACGAGGTATCCGGCCCATAAATTGGAATTCTTGGCCCTGAAATGGAGTGTTGTTGAGAAATTCCATGACTACCTTTATGGAGCCACCTTCACTGTCATCACGGACAACAACCCTCTCACCTACGTACTCACCTCTGCAAGACTGGACGCCACAAGTCATAGATGGTTGGCCGCACTTTCTACATACTCCTTCAAACTGCAATATCGTGCTGGACGGCAGAATTTGGACGCGGACGCTTTGTCTCGACGCTCTCATGGAGAACATCCAGATGACCCTTCCTGTTCGGAACGGGACCCCCTTCATCACCTGACCCAGCAGCTATGTGAGTCAAGTGAAGCAGAAGAGATCTCTCCAGAGATAGTTGATGCCATCTGCCAGAGCTGTCTTGTGAGAACAGATCCAAGTCAAGCTACGATGACTCTGGTTGAGTCTCTGTCTGCCACTGTCGACATCATCCCCGACAGCTTCACCAATGAAGAACTCCATGGCTTACCCACGGTTCCATCCCTATCTCACACCGAGCTTCAGGACCATCAGAGAGCTGACCCTGCCATTCGTGAGGTCATTCACCAACTCGAAACGGGTGAGAAAGTTCCCCCTACAGCCAGAGCCGAATTGCCAGAACTTCCACTGCTTCTTCGAGAGTGGAATAGGCTGGAGTTGGAAGATGGAGTTTTGTACCGGAAGAGACAGGATGAGGACAAGGTTCTCCTACAGTTGGTCCTTCCACCAGATCTTCGTCCTGCTGTTTTAAAGAGCCTGCACCACAACATGGGGCACATGGGCATTGAGAGGACGCTTGATCTGGTCCGTCAACGCTTCTTTTGGCCAAGGATGGCAGTCGCTGTGGAGGACACAATCAAAAGCTGTGGTAGATGTGTGAGACGCAAGGCACTAGTGGAGAAAGCAGCTCCGCTAGTGAACATTAAAACCAGTCGCCCACTTGAACTACTCTGCATGGACTTCCTTTCATTAGAACCAGACAGTAGTAACACCAAGGACATTTTAGTTCTCACAGATCACTTCACTAAATTTGCAGTTGCTATTCCCACCGCCAACCAAAAGGCTCACACTGTAGCTAAATGCCTCTGGAATGATTTTATGGTGCACTACGGTATTCCAGAGCGCATCCACACAGACCAAGGCCCGGACTTTGAGTCCAAACTCATCAAGGAGCTTTGCGAAGTTGCCGGCATCCGGAAGAGCCGTACTACTCCGTATCACCCACGGGGTAATCCAGTTGAACGGTTCAACCGCACTTTGCTCATGATGCTGGGAACCCTCGAAACAAAGCAGAAGTCACAGTGGCGGTTGCATGTAAAGCCATTGGTCCATGCATACAACTGCACAAGGAACGAGGTCACCGGGTTCACCCCTTATGAACTCCTCTTCGGACGTTATCCTCGTCTCCCCGTCGATCTGGCTTTTGGTCTGCCGGTCCGAGAAAAGCCCTCAGTCTCTCACTCTGACTATGTTAAGAATCTCCGGTCACGCCTCAAAGAGAGCTACCAAATAGCTTCTGAGAATGCTCTTAAGTCAGCTGCCAGAAATAAAGCACGTTTTGACAAGAGAGTCACACCATCTACCCTCGAGGTTGGAGACCGAGTCTTGGTCCGCAATGTCCGCTTGCGAGGAAAGCACAAGCTAGAGGACAAGTGGGAGCGGGAAGTGTACAAGGTAATCCAGCGTGCTGGAGAGTTGCCTGTTTACACGGTGCAGCCGGAGAATTATGATGGACCTACTCGCACGCTGCACCGAGACCTCCTGCTGCCTTGCGGGTTCCTACCAGCTTGCTCTGACGATCTTCCCATGGAAACCCCGGCCCAACGACCAAAGACTCGCAGCCAGACTCGTGACCAAGTTAATTGCTCTAATGTTCCGGAGGGAGAGTATGCTGAAGCAGCCATCCTGGAAAGTCCTGTCCGGGTTCCAGTCAAATTCACAACTGAGAGTTTTAGAGACGTTGAGCCACTGCCTTTGACCATCCACACTGAGGAGCCTGTCGCACCACCAGTCCTCAGTGATGTTGAACTACCTGACCTCCACTCACCTGCTCAAAATCTGGACCCTGAAAACCACTTACCTGAAGAACCTGCCACCTCCGATCCACCTACATCCCTGGTGGGAGAAGAGGAAGTGCCAGAGGGAGAAGACTATCTTGAGCCAGTACCTGTGGAGGAAGAAATACTTACCAATGACTTACCCGTTGAACCTGAACTGTCCCTAGACACTGAGGTTGCTGATCCATCGACCGTCCAACCTGAGCCATCCTTCGGGCCCATCAATTCACCCGAAACTGTCTCTAATGTGGCGGAACCCGAAACAGTTCTTAGGCGTCCTGTGCGTCAACGCCAGCCACCCAGTCGTCTCACGTACACTAGTTTGGGTAATCCACTCATTTCCGTTGTACAAAGTTTGTTTCACAGCCTGTCAAATGTATATACGGAAGCGCTCAGTTACGTTCCTATTGTAGATCCGAAGCCTGAAAGACCATGCAGCGGGACTCGCATGAATTAAATGGGGGAGGGTGTAACCCGGGTAATTTTTATCATTCTCTGCACCTCTCCATTTGTCATTTTTTTTGCCGTCTCTTTTAAATAATCTCGCGGTAGTTGGTTGTTCCGACGAGAGTTCGAGCGAGAGTTCCCACGGTCCCCATGGCAACATTTCCTCAAATAAGCGCGCTCTGTCCACAGTCGGGTGTGTTGCTGTGGGGAAAGTTCGGATCAGAGCAGGCTGCAGGTAATTGTCCGCGATCTAACTTCGTTTCATAATCTAAGGGTTGTAACTGATATGCTTTCACTACAGGCGCCTCCTACACTATCTTTGACGCGGTTGTCACACTGTTTGCACTGTTCTACAGAGGAACTGGTGAGTCAGATTGTTTGATTCTGCACGGAGCTAGTAGCTAGCGCTAGTCTCTGCTGCATTACTGACTTTTCTCTTTGATGTATGTTTTTCTGTGTCGGTGCCTAGGCCTAGTAGTATGATTGTGATAATGTGTATTGATGTATTTTAATGTGCACCTCAGCAAAATGTTAAATGCATTGATATATTTGATTGTGTGCACAAGATAAGCTAATGTGACCTGTGCATTATTGTTTATGGTGCATTGTGCACTCTGGATCACTGTTACACCACCGTGCGCGGAGCTTTTCGCGCTGTTCCCAAGCCAGCCCTCGGCTTCTCAGATCACTCCATGATACATCTGGTTCCTGCTTACAGACAGAGACTAAAGCTCTCGAAACCTGCAGTGAGGAGCTCCAAAGTGTGGTCTGATGAAGCTGTGGAAGAGCTGCGCGCATGCATGGAATCTACAGACTGGGACCTTTTCAGAGCTGCCACAGACAGCTTGGATGAATATACGGACACTGTGACGTCATACATCCACTTCTGTGAGGATAGCATCATTCCAACAAGGACCAGGGTCATCTATAACAACGACAAACCCTGGTTCACTGCTAAACTCCGGCAGCTCAGGAAAGCAAAGGAGTCTGCTTTCAGGGAGGGGGACCGCAGCGGCTACAAAGCAGCTAAATATCAGTTCAGGAAAGAACTGAAAGCAGCCAAGTCCCGGCACAGAGAACGACTACAGGAGCAGTTTGGTAACAACGATACTGCTTCTGTCTGGAGGGGCCTACGGGAGATCACCAACTACAAACCCAAAGCCCCCCCCCTGTGCTGATGACCACAAGCTAGCTGACGATCTGAACTTATTTTTCAGTCGCTTTGATGCTGCCCCTGACACCTCTCCCTCCCCCACCCCCCACTACTCTAACGACCCACCCATCAGCCCTGCCCCCAGCCTAACAATAGCCGCTAAAGAGATTAAACAACTCTTCCTGAGGCTGCACCCCCGCAAAGCTCCTGGCCCGGACCACGTGTCTCCGGCCACTCTGAGACACTGCGCCAGTGAGCTTACTCCTGTGTTCACGGACATTTTCAACACCTCTCTGCAGTCCTGCCATGTCCCGGCCTGCTTCAAATCCTCCATCATTGTCCCCGTCCCGAAGAAGCCCAGGATCACAGGACTCAATGACTACAGACCTGTAGCACTTACGTCTGTCGTCATGAAGTCATTTGAACGCCTGGTTCTCTCCCATCTCAAGTCCCTCACCTCCCCCCTCCTGGACCCCCTGCAGTTCGCCTACAGAGCCAACAGATCTGTAGACGACGCCATTAACCTGGCCCTCCACCACATCCTACAGCACCTGGACTCCCCGGGGACCTACGCCAGGGTCCTGTTCGTGGACTTCAGCTCTGCCTTCAACACAATCCTGCCATCCCTGCTCCAGGACAAGCTCTCCCAGCTCAACGTGCCCGATTCCACCTGCAGGTGGATCACTGACTTCCTGACGGACAGGAAGCAGCGAGTGCGTCTGGGGAAGAATGTCTCGGACTCTCGGATTATAAATACAGGAGCCCCACAGGGCTGTGTTCTTTCTCCCCTGCTCTTCTCCCTGTACACCAACCACTGCACCTCCAGCCACGACTCCGTGAAGCTGATCAAGTTCGCGGACGACACCACCCTCATTGGACTCATCTCCAACAACGATGAGTCCGCCTACAGGAGGGAGGTGGACCGGCTGGTGTCCTGGTGCAGTGGTAACAACCTGGAGCTGAACGCCCAGAAGACAGTGGAGATGATTGTGGACTTCAGGAAGAGCACTGTCCCCCCGCCCCCACCCTCCGTGATGGACTCCCCCATCACCTCTGTGGAGTCCTTCCGTTTCCTGGGCACCACCATCACCCAGGACCTCAAGTGGGAGCCGACCATCAGCTCCCTCATCAAGAAGGCCCAGCAGAGGATGTACTTCCTGCGGCAGCTCAGGAAAGCCAAGCTGCCTGCACAGATGTTGGTGCAGTTCTACACGGCCATCATCGAGTCCATCCTCACCTCCTCCATCACCGTGTGGTTCGCTGGAGCCACAGTCAGGGACAAACAGAGACTACAGCGCATTGTGCGCTCTGCAGAGGAAGTGATCGGCCGCAGCCTTCCATCGCTGCAGGACCTGTACGTCGCCCGAGCTCGAGGCCGGGCTGGTCGTATCACAGCCGACCCCTCTCACCCTGCACATGGACTATTCCAACCACTCCCCTCAGGCAGGAGGCTGCGGTCCATCAGGACTAGAACCTCCCGCCACAAGAACAGTTTCTTCCCCTCTGCTGTTGGACTCTTGAACACTTCTTAACCTGTCCCCCCGCCCTTTATAAAGTCACTATACTGCCCATCATACGTCACTTTACTTCACTGTACTGCTGTCACCTTACATTGTGTGCACCATGTGCACTTGTATATTGTAAATAGTAACTGTAACTCTATTTTAAATTTAAATTTATTCTTTAGAAGTGTTTTTATTCTTATTTTTATTATCTCTTTTTGACTGTTGCACTGAGCCAAAGCAATTTCCAAGTCTGTGACCTCCCGTTACTTATGTTGGCAATAAAAATGATTCTGATTCTGATTCTGATTCTGATTCTGATGAGTACTCTTGATTATTTAATATACATGTATATGAGACTTTGTTTTTGTAATGACCTATTGCTTATTTGAATGAGATGTGACTAATGCTGGTCCTGTTCGTAACAGGCCAGGTTCTATCCATCCATCCATTCCTTCCATTGGTCCCTCCAGTCCAGTGGTCCCCTTGTCGATGGCGAGCTGCCCCAGGCCCAAAGCCTAGACCCAGACTGTCCCACAGTGCGGTAGGAGGCGAGCAGCCTTTTGCTCACCCACACAACACCTCCACTCCTCACAAAGTGGACACTTACTGTAATAGACATTTGATTACAGCAACACGCTGGTTATATGGACTCAACTTTACACTCTACATTCATTGTACATATTGTGTATATTGTATATATGTTTGTATATATCCCCAGTCTTTTGTATATATATCTTTCCGCAATATAATTCACATTTTTGCACTGTACCACTGTCTCTGTCTTTTTAAACACCTCTCTCTCTTGTGAGACGCATCTAGCTTCTGGTACTAGCCTAAGATCAGTATTGTGCCTGTGGGTAACATAAAGCATACAACCCATATATGCTACACGCACAATGCGCTGTAGTCTCTGTTTGTCCCTGACTGTGGCTCCAGCGAACCACACGGTGATGGAGGAGGTGAGGATGGACTCGATGATGGCCGTGTAGAACTGCATCAACATCTGTGCAGGCAGCTTGGCTTTCCTGAGCTGCCGCAGGAAGTACATCCTCTGCTGGGCCTTCTTGATGAGGGAGCTGATGGTCGGCTCCCACTTGAGGTCATGGGTGATGGTGATGCCCAGGAAACGGAAGGACTCCACAGAGGTAATGGGGGAGTCCATCACGGAGGGTGGGGGCGGTGGGGACAGTGCTCTTCCTGAAGTCCACAATCATCTCCACTGTCTTCTGGGCGTTCAGCTCCAGGTTGTTACCACTGCACCAGGACACCAGCCGGTCCACCTCCCTCCTTGGAGACTTTGAGATGAGTCCAATGCGGGTGGTGTCGTCCGCGAACTTGATCAGCTTCACGGAGTCGTGGCTGGAAGTGCAGTGGTTGGTGTACAGGGAGAAGAGCAGGGGAGAAAGAACACAGCCCTGTGGGGCTCCTGTATTTATAATCCGAGAGTCCAAGACATTCTTCCCCAGACGCACTTGCTGCTTCCTGTTCGTCAGGAAGTCATTCATGCAGTGAAACGTATTTAATCCCACCCCTTTAATCCCACTCAGTGATTAATGATCAGCTTCACTGTTACTTTGTTCAAGCGTTATGTCATGATGGCATTACCACGGGCAACAAGGAAATTTACATTGCAACAACAATTAGTAGTAATCTTTATTTATATACCGCCTTTTCACTGCACATCGGAGTCTCAAAGCGGTTTACAATTGTGATTTTTGGGAGTGGGGTCGCCAGTACAGGAGGCACATGCCAGACCTATTTTACATATTTTTAGTGGTAGGGGAAACCAGAGCACCCGGAGGAAACCTACGCAGACACGGGGAGAACATGCAAACTCCACTCAGAAAGGCCCTGGTCCAACCGGGATTCGAACCCAGGACCTTCTTGCTGAGAGGCGAGAGTGCTATCCACTCAGCCACCGTGCCACCCAATTGATACCAACAATGGTAATAGATAATATACCAACAATGGTAATTAACAAAAAAGAAAAGCAACAACAGCAAGATTCGATATACCAACAATGGCAAAGGAACATTGAGCACATGCTACACTTTGAGACAGAGAAAATCAGATTAAATTAAAGACCCTCATCTCTATATTGTGACCAGACCTTATGTTTATAGAACAGTTTAAATCAATAAATAGTTTTACATTGCTTGTGTTGTGAGCCCAGTTTGTTCCAAAGTTTTACTCCACATACAGACAGACAAAAACATTTACGAGTGGTTTTTGATCTCGGCAATGAAAAATATCCAAAACCTCTCAAGTTACGAGCTCGCTCAGGAGTCGTAAAGAAATGCTGCAGGTTAGATGGTAGTAATTTATTGAATGCTTTATACAAGACTATTGATGTATTATATTTTACAAGATCATCAAACTTTAGCAACTTTGACTGAGTAAACAGATTATGAGTATGTTCCAGACAACCAACCTTATGGATGATCCGCACTGCTCTTTTCTGTGATATGATGAGAGGATGTAGTGTGTTGTGGTAAGTGTTACCCAGACCTCAACACAATACGTCAGGTATGGAAGAACCGGGCTGCAATATGAAGTACGGAGTGCATTTCCATTAAGGTAGTTTTGCTTTATTTATAATTGAGAGGCTTTTGGAAAAAAAAATTTTTTATGTGTCTGACATGGGGTTTCCATGACAACTTGCTATCAATTTTTACTCCCAAAAACTTAATTTAATTTACCATTTCAATTTGGATACCATTAATACTTATTCTCGATTCAGACGTTATGTTGCGATTCCCAAACATCATCATCTTAGTTTTATTTACATTCAAGGATAATTTATTTGCATCCATCCACTTTTTTATTATATGTAGTTCCTTGTTTACAGAATTTACAAGCTCATTATAATCATCACTACTGTAGAGGATAGTTGTGTCGTTAGGACCCAATACTGACCCCTGGGGGACACAGCAAGTAATGCCAACCGTGTCTGATAGACCCATTTTAACAAATGGGTCAATATATATATATATATATATATATATATATATATATATATATATATATATATATATATATATATATATATATATATATATATATATATATATATATATTATAAACAGATGCATTGTTAATATTATTATTAAAGAAAATAAATCAAGAAGTGGTCAAAGTTCTCTTCCTCATGACACTCCAGTTATTAATTTTATAATTAATACATATAAGTTATTTGAAACTTTTAAGTGAAAACACATCAGAAAAAGGAAGTTTGTACACACTCTGTCAATAACATGCTGTTTTTCAATTTCTGTTTTCTTTACTTATTGACCTACTTTATAAAGGAGAAAGTGCACCTTCATAAACTACGTAATGAAACTGTAATTCCATGACGTCAAATACCCGAAAAAATATTTATAGATACTTTGTTTTCTCCTTTTTTTCTTGCACTATGGCTTGCAGTGGCAATGTAGAACCACATGAAGGCGCTGTGGTTATTTGTTTCATCCGCTGCGTTTTCTGTCCAAAGCTGTGACGGTATCAGAGACAGTTTGTCAAGGGGGAGTTGTGCTGTAAAAGAGAAGAAATGCTTAGATTGAAACTTGTTTAAACTGTGATATAGTCAACATTAGTCATTACACAGACGTTTTGCTATTCCTTCTTTTATTGATAGATAGATAGATAGATAGACAGACAGACAGTTAGATAGATAGATAGACAGATAGATATTGATTCGTATAGGAGAAATTCAGGTGTCCAGCAGCAGAAAACATATTCATGAAAACACAAAGGTCCATCAATTATAAACATTTCTTAACAACTAACATTTCCAGCTAACGACCAACCAATAGTGCATATTTGTAACTCATCCAGGTTTGTTGTACAGTCTGACAGCTGAGGCTCTCTACAAAAGTTCCGTTCGGCAGCGCAGTGATAGGAGCTAGTTGCCACGGTTACTCCTCTGAGCGGCCATAGTGTCATGCAGAGGGTGTCCAACCTTATTATTCGGAAAACAAGCAGTCTTTCGCACGATAGATGAAGAATGCAGAATATTCAAACCATTGTCAGTTAAAATGGTAAAACAGTTGTGTCTAAAATACGCTTTTCATTGACTTTTTGCAACTTTTTTGTAACTTTTTGCTTGTAGATAGATAGATACTTGATTGATCCCTGTAGAAGAAATTCAGTTGTCCAGAAACAGCATAAATGAAATAATGACATTGATCATTCTAAAAAGAAAACAATAGTATTAATAAGCAACAGCCCTTCAAGTCACAGCAGAGATGGTGGTGGAGTAGCCTCTGGGTGGAGCAGGACGGGTCACAGCAGCAGAGGTGGAGTAGCCTCTGGGTGGAGCAGGACAGGTCACAGCAGCAGAGGTGGAGTAGCCTCTGGGTGGAGCAGGACAGGTCACAGCAGCAGAGGTGGAGTAGCCACTTGGTTCGGACCATTTTCTCTGCTCTATAGTCCAAAGTAAAATGCTTCATTAGCATTTCAAAAAGTTAGCATTCCTCCAGTGGATTTTCGGCTGATTTGCTCAGTTCGGACCAAGAATCCTCTCTGCTCCGGTCTGGACCTGTGAAAAACCATGAACACTGAACTGCAGCAACATCTCAGGTAGAAAAAAAGCAACAAAACAACAACTGTTTCAGAGCTACCTTGGACTTGGGCGGCACGGTGGCTGAGTGGATAGCACTCTCGCCTCTCAGCGAGAAGGTCCTGGGTTCAAATCCCGGTTGGACCAGGGCCTTTCTGAGTGGAGTTTGCATGTTCTCCCCGTGTCTGCGTAGGTTTCCTCCGGGTGCTCCGGTTTCCCCTACCACTAAAAATATGTACAATAGGTCTGGCATGTGCCTCCTGTACTGGCCCCACTCCCAAAAAATAACAATTGTAAACCGCTTTGAGACTCCGATGTGCAGTGAAAAGGCGGTATATAAATAAAGATTACTTACTTACTTACTTACTTACTTGCAGCCGTTTTCCAGCGCATTCAGAAGTAAACAGT